AAGGGTTGTGACGGTGGTAGAGGGTGGTAAGGGTTGTCATGGTGGTAGAGGGTGGTAGTGATGGTGGTAGAGGGTGGTAGTGATGATGGTGGAGGGTGGTAGTGATGGTGGTAGCAGGTGGTAGTAATGGTGGTAGAGGGTGTTAGTGGTGGTGGCAGAAGGTGATGGTGAAGGTGGTAGAGGGTGGCTGCAATTGTGATGGTGGTAGATGGTGGTAGTGGTTGTGATGGTAGTAGAGGGTGGTAGTGGTTGTGATGGTGGTAGTGGTTGTGATGGTGGTAGAGGGTGGTAGTGGTTGTGATGGTGGTAGAGGGTGGTAGTGATGATGGTAGAGGGTGGAAGCAGTTGTGATGGTGGTAGTGATGGTGGCAGTGATGGTGGAAGATGGTGGTAAGGGTTGTGATGGTGGTAGAGGGTGGTAGTGGTAGTGATGGTGGTAGAGGGTGGTAGTGATGATGGTAGAGGGTGGTAGTGATGATGGTAGAGGGTGGTAGTGATGATGGTAGAGGGTGGTAGTGATGGTGGTAGCAGGTGGTAGTGATGGTGGTAGAGGGTGGTAGTGGTGGTGGTAGAGGGTGATGGTGAAGGTGGTAGAGGGTGGCTGTAATTGTGATGGTGGTAGATGGTGGTAGTGGTTGTGATGGTGGTAGAGGGTGGGAGGGGTGGTGGTAGAGGGTGGTAATGATGGTGGTAGAGGGTGGTAGTGATGGTGGTAGAGGGTGGTAGCAGTTGTGATGGTGGTAGAGGGTGGCAGTGGTTGTGATGGTGGTAGTGATGGTGGCAGTGATGGTGGAAGATGGTGGTAAGGGTTGTGATGGTGGTAGAGAGTGGTAGTTGTGATGGTGGTAGAGGGTGGTAGTGATGGTGGTAGAGGGTGGTAATGGTTGTGATGGTGGTAGAGGGTGGTAGTGGTTGTGATGGTGGTAGAGGGTGGTAGTGATGGTGGTAGAGGGTGGTAGTGATGATGGTAGAGGGTGGCCTGGTGGCTAACACTCTCGCTTCACACGGCGAGGGCCTGGGTTCGATTCCCAGCCAGAGTAGAAACATTGGACATGTTTCTTTCCACCTGTTGTCTATGTTCCCCATCAGTAAAATGGTTACCTGGGTGTTAGTGGACTGGTGTGGGTCGCATCCTGGGACACTGACCTAATTTGCCCGAAATGCGGAGCATAACAAGGGAGTTTCTATATAGTAGTATGTCATTGTTGTCAGCTAGGACTGTATACCTTGTACATGTACTTGTAGTAAATAAAGATATTATTATTATTATTATTATTATTATTATTATTATTATATTATTATTAATGTTTGTAATGGTAGTAGAGAGTGGTAGTGGTTGTGATGGTGGTAGAGGGTGGTAGTGATTGTGATGGTAGTAGAGGGTGATAGCAGTTGTGATGGTGGTAGAGGGTGGTAGTGTTTGTGATGGTGGTGGAGGGTGGTAGCAGTTGTGATGGTGGTAGAGAGTGGTAGTGGTTGTGATGGTGGTAGAGGGTGGTAGTGATTGTGATGGTTGTAGAGGGTGGTAGTGGTTGTGATGGTGTAGAGGGTGGTAGTGATGGTGGTAGAGGGTTGTAGTGGTTGTGATGGTGGTAGAGGGTGGTAGTGGTTGTGATGATGTAGAAAGTGGTAGTGATGGTGGTAGAGGGTTGTAGTGGTTGTGATGGTGGTAGAGGGTGGTAGTGGTTGTGATGATGTTAGAGGGTGGCAGTGGTGGTGGTAGAGGGTGGTAGTGGTTGTGATGGTGGTAGAGGATGGCAGTGGTGGTGGTAGAGGGTGGTAGTGGTTGTGATGGTGGTAGAGGGTGGTAGTGATGGTGGAAGTGATTGTGGTAGAGGGTAGAGCTGCAGTAGCTGTCTTTATGGAAAGGGATTCCCCTTCCAAATAATAGTGTAACTTCTCCATCCTCTCCCGTCTTCCCGTCTTCCATCCACTAACGAGTGACTAACAAGTCTTCAATAAAGGTAAGTGTCATGTTATTATTTTTTTATACTTTATTTCTCATTCTTTTCTGTATATAAATCTATATTTAATGTACAGTGGTACCTTGAGTTTCAAACAGCTCCCAACTTAAACAATTATGTAAGTGTATTATTGTAAGTGCTTTTTTAAGTGTATTTTTGGAGTCTGAAACAGACTAATCTAATTTACATTATTCCTTATGGAAACAAATTCGTTTGGTAACGGCACTCGACCAGCCTTCTGGAACGAATTATGGCGAAAACTTGGGATACCACTGTATAAAAAATTATTTTTTGTTAATACTTTCGGGTGGCTGGAATGGATTAATTTGTTTTACATTATTTCTAATGGAGAAAATGGTTTCAGTTTTCATTGATTTCACATTTCGTCAGACTCTCTGGAACAAATTAAAGATGAAGAGAGAGGGTCCACTGTAATAAGAGGAATTAGATACAACACATTATCACCCTAGTCCTCATCTCAGGTTATGACATGGGTTTATGTGGAAAAATGTGGATTGCTTTATGTGTTTATCACTTAAGAAACCTTTTATACAGTCCCTGTCCAGGTAATGTAATTAAGCAGGCATCAATTATACATACATACAGTGGACCCCTGGTTATTGTAATTAATCCATTCCAGAGAGAGTGACTAAACCTTAATCTGATGATTTCCAAATTTATTTTTCCCATAAGAAATAATGTAAATCCAATTAATCCATTCCAGACACCCAAAAGTATTAACAAAAATGATTTTTTATAGATTAAATATAGATTTACATACAGAAAAGAATGAGAAATTGTGTATAAAACAATCATATCACACTTACCTTTATTGAAGACTCTTGTTGGTGCATGGAAGATGGGAGGAGAGAAGAGGGTTAGTGTGACGTTCCTCCACAAATGTTTGCAACTCACTCCACTTTGCACAAATGTCCTTAATCTTTGAAGTAGGCACCTTCTTCCCTCTCTCTTTCTCCTCCTCTGAAGCAATTTCCTCAGCTGGTGTACATAAGAACATAAGACAGCAGGAACACTGCAGCAGGCCTGTTGTCCCATACTAGGCAGGTCCTTCACAAACCATCCTACTAACAGAATCGTATTTGCCCAACCCAATTTTCAATGCTTTCCAAGCAATAAGCATTGATAATTCTATTCACTCATGCGCAAGTCCCACTCAAATCAAATCGTGTGTGTGGGGAAGTATCCTGCCTGGTGGGTGGGGAAGTACCCTGGCTGGGGTATGGGGAAGTACCCTGGCTGGTATGTGGGGAAGTGCCCTGGCTGGTGTGTGTGAGGAAGTACCCTGGTTGGTGTACATAAGAAAGCAGGAACACTGCAGCAGACCTGTTGACCCATAATAAGCAGGTCCTTCACAAACCATCCCACTAACAGAATTATATTTCCCCAACCCAATTTTCAATGCTTCCCAAGCAATAAGCTTTGATAATTCTATTCACTCGTGCGCAAGTCCCACTCAAATCAAATCGTGTGTGTGGGGAAGTACCCTGGCTGGTGTGTTCTTTCTTGAATTCTATCGTGTTTATCGCCTTCTTTACCAAAGGACTGGCACTAGGAACTTTCTTTTGGCCCATGGTGGCTTATTTAGCAGTTGCAACCACTAAAATGAATGGAATATTATGAAATGTGTCGTATGAATGTATGGGGTCATGCTCACTGGCTGATAAACAATGACTCACTGACTGTAAATGGTGTGTCAGGCCGCTCGGACGCGTTCGGGATGAATGACTATTACCAAGCTAAATGACGATCACCGAGCCAATATTTTGACGAAAAAACATTACTATTTCCGAATACATTACAAAATCCGATGACTACGAAATCTGGGGGTCCACTGTACAGTGGACCCCCGCATAACGATGGCATCGCATAGCGATTTTTCCGCATAACGATTACTTTTATCGCAAAATTTTTGCCGCGCATACCGATCAAAAACCCGCATACCGATTTTCGTCCGAGACGCGTCCAATGTGCCCTCAGCCAGCCTCACATGTGCCGCTCCGTCCCATTGTTTACCAGCCAGCCTCCGCGGTAACATCCAAGCATACACTCGGAATATTTCGTATTATTACAGTATTTTCGGTGCTGTTTCTGGAAAATAAGTGACCATGGGCCCCAAGAAAGCTTCTAGTGCCAACCCTGTGGTAAAAAGGGTGAGAATTAGTATGGAAATTAAGAAAGATTTTGAAGGGTTTGGGGCTAACCCTGAGAAGCCTATGCCAGTTGTGGAATCCATTGTGCCTACTTCAAAGATTAAGGAAATGTGTGCAGAGTGGGTTGAACTGCAAACCTTTATAGATGAAAATCACCCTGACACAGCTGTTGCAAGCCGTGCTTGTGACTATTTCAATGACAATGTTATGGCCCATTTTAGGAAAGTCTTGAAGGAACGGGAGGTACAGAGCTCTATGGACAGATTTGTTGTGCGACAGAGGTCCAGTGACTCTCAAGCTGGTCCTAGTGGCATTAAAAGAAGAAGGGAAGTAACCCCAGAAAAGGACTTGCTACCTCAAGTCCTAATGGAAGGGGATTCCCCTTCTAAACAGTAAGAAGATAATGCTCTCCCCTCCTCCCATCCCATCAATCATCACCAGATCTTCAATAAAAGTAAGTGTCATGTAATTGTGCATGCCTTTTTCAGTTTGTGTGTATTAAAATTAACATTTCATGTGGTAAAAAAAATTTTTTTCATACTTTTGGGCGTCTTGCACGGATTAATTTTATTTCCATTATTTCTTATGGGGAAAATTCATTCGCATAACGATTATTTCGCATAACGATGAGCCCTCTTGCACGGATTAAAATCGTTAACCGGGGGTCCACTGTAGTCCCATAATTTTTAAGAGGGTGGACCGGTAAGCCTGCAGAAGGTCTCGGTGAGATGGCCAAAAGCTCAAGCTGCGGGTCATCATATGACTAAGATCCGTGTCAGGAAACACTTGTCCAGTTACATGACAAACCTTACCTAGCCTAACTATATATTTATATTTAATGCTCAGGATATAATTAATATCTTACCGTGTGCAGTTGAATTTTGGCTCTTGAGGTGCAATGTAATGGTAATGAAGAGGGTCGAGCATCTGTAATGGTGGTAAAGCTCCTTCCAGGATACGAGGTTGCCCACCAGCACTACTCATGCTGCTTGTCTCTACTTGACCAAATTCATACTGAAAAATGAGAATTCATTTTTAATAAGACATTTGAAGAGAAGAGCACTTCATTAAACATGAATTGATGAAATACAGCATACAGTGTGTGCAGTAAAACTAAACTACAAGCTCATGATTTATCCAGATCTTGGCAATCTTTGCTTGGAGAAATATCTTAACCCTTAAAGTGTCCAAACGTAGATCTATGTTCACCTGCGTGGCGCTCCGAATATTTTGAAAAATAATTTTTTTTATAATTAAATAGGACAATTTTCTGTGTGGTATAAGACCAAAAAGAAAATTTTAGGACAAATACTTGACGAGATATAAGACTGGATGCTTTGGATGCTCACCTGATGGCAACATCCAATCCTGCTGCTTGCAGAAATGTTGCCGATTTACCTTTTTCTCTCGTTTTTATTTTAATTTATATAATTTTTATGTTCTGATAATTGCAATTTATAATAGTTCTTGTGATTTCTTGGCCACTCTTTGTTCTGACACTAAAATTATGTACTGAAATAACACTCAAATAGTAGGAATCACACCGACAGATAAACATTTTCACCTGCCTGGGTCATTTACTATTGTCTAGAAATACATAACAAAGTATTTATAGGTCTTTGCAATGTTTTAGACATATAACTGGTGACAGCCAGTGACATTTGATGAATGTGCGCAGCTGCAGGGAACCCTCGCTTTATTTGTTTTCGCTGTTGCACACAAACATGTCTGTCTGTATGTCTGTTTATCTATCTGTTATTCTATCTAGCACTGTTTATCTATCTAGCTCTGTTTATCTGTCTTTCTGTCTGCCTGTGTGTGCCTGGAGTATATATAAAATTCCTTGAAGAATGGTGTTATGACAAGCATCAGATAACTGTTGACAGCCAGTGATATTTGATGAATGTGAGCTGCTGCAGGGAACCCTCGCTTTATTTGTTTTCACTGTTGCACACAAACATGTCTGTCTGTCTTTCTATTTATCTATCTGTCTGTCTGTTTATCTGTCTGCCTGTGTGTGTGTGTCTTTCCATCTGTTTGTCTCTGTCTCAGGAAGCGGCTGGTAAACCTGCTGGTTTTTGGTTTATGAGCCACTCCCTGATTACCGAGCAAGTGACACTGCTATTACTTGTGTCATGTTCATTTATGTCTTACATCTACAAACACTGTATAGCACTTGGCCTGGAATTTTTGGGTTATCCTAAGTGTTACGTGCCCCTCCTTCATGCTCCATACTATACAAAAATAAAAGGCCTGGTTAAAATAAGTTCTGTAATAATATATCATGAACCACTTTATTACAAGCTAGATGAAGCAGGTTCGACTATATATTATTATCGAGTACGGTATAAATCATAAAAGGTACTCTCAATCAAGGTTGTATTCAATAAGATGCTATTCATTAGGTATTATTATTGTATTATATTATTATTGTATTATATTATTATTGTATTATAATAGGTTGATTACTGTGTTCTGTTATGCAAGTGGGAAACCACTACTTTAGAGACCGGTTGATGGTTCCAGAATTGGCACCTGGTGCTACCTCCTGACCGACCTGATGTCAGACCACTGAGCATTTGAACAGTCAGATCATAGCACTGACTCTGATCGGGTCTTCAACCTAGAGATCTTAACTTAGTCAATAATTCTAAATCATGCCTATTGTCTTAACTTTGCTGTTAATTCCAAGAGTCTGATAACTCTTCTGCTTAGGAAGGATAACTGATTTACTTCCTTACAGCTCCCTTAGTCGTTCTTATTTGGACTGTTCATTGTAATTATTGTATTATGCTTAATTCACAATGATTTGAACATAGAATTACGTTCCTCATTGTACAGTCTCATTTCACTGATAATAGTGAATTGTCATTTTAATTCACTGACTGGGTACCAATAAAGGTTCATAATTGGTAGTAAATAAAACTAACCAAAAAACAAAACGAAGTAATTACAGTATTCCCCTACTGTTGCGGCATAGAGCAAGTCGTAACAAATGGGTTGTCTGTCTGGGAGCTACTTACCCTGAAGTACATATTTGATTTGCATTAAAATTAAACTCCCTTGCAAGAATTAAGAAAATGGATCCAAGAACCAAGTCATTATTAGGTGAATTAACAGAGGCTACTCTTGACACCCTAAAATTACAGACGTGTTGGCAAATAGCTAGGCAGTTAGATATACACCTACCATCCAACTTACGACCTGCTCGACTTACGACCACTCGACTTACGACCGTGTTTTTTATGCCAAATTTCTGGGAAATAAACAACTATTTGTGTTGTACACAGTGTTTATCCTAAACCTTACAGTATAAAATACAGTACTAACAATATAAAAAGTACAGTAAAACATGAAATACCAAAATAAAACAATAAAATAAAGTCCTTACAAAAATGTTTTGTTGATAGTCAGTAGTAAAGTTTGACTTACGACCATTTCGACTTACGACCGGTTTCTCGGAACCTAACTCGGTCGTAAGTCAGATGGTAGGTGTACCTTATAACAGACACCATAGCGCAGAAACTCTTAGGTCACTAATTAGGGATAGATTATTCCCAAGATCCCCAGTAATGCCAGAATTAGAAGATAGTCTTATTTCTCAATTCGAGGAAGTAGAAATCCCATGGATGAGAACTGCCTTAAATAATGAAGTTAAACCAGGGTTTACGAGGCCTTACTACTCAGTCCAGTCTCAAAGCTACCCCCCGTTCACTTCCCCGGAGTATGTATCGGTGGTTGGAACGAACCCACAGTCAAATGACTGGGATAATCTTAGAACTGGTGCTAGTTGGTGTCATTACCTCTTGGGAATTTCACGTCCGAACAACTAGAGAGAATAGAACACACATTACTATTACAAAACTCTCAAATCAAAGCTAGAAGACATCTAAACGAGGAAGAATTTAGGCGTGAAAAGTTTCGTTTTGAAACAAAGCAGAAGGGAGGTCCAGAAGAGAGACATGAAGAGCACAATAACCGGGTTCAATTTACATAAAGCAGCTCTGATGGTACCTAAGTTTAACGAAACGGACTTAGATGAATTCTTTGAAATTTTTGAGAATCAGGCACGTTCAATGAGCTGGCCTAAAAACAAATGGGCCACATTGCTGCACACGTCTATATATGGAAAGGCGCAGTCTTGTGTCGCCTCTTTACTGTATGAGTTTTATGTCCAGTACGACGTAGTAAAGAGAACTATTTTAGAAGCATATGACATGCTCGCTATTAGTTACCAAATAGCTTTTCGTTCCAGGAAACGGCAAACAGGACAAACTTACGTAGATTTTGACCGAGGGAAAGCAGTGGCGTTTGAACGTTGGTGTCGAGCTTCTCGAGTCATGACTTTAAAAGATCTAACACAATTAATGTTACGAGAATATCTGTAGGCGAATTTTCCAGAGGGAGTTCGCCAATATCTTGTTGGCCATCCGTGAACGACATTGTTAGAGACTGCTGCGTTGGCAGACAACTTTGAGATTTCCCAGAGATTGGTACAATCTGAAAACAGCCAGGTTATCAAGCCAGCAGTAAGACCCGAGCCTACGAAGCCTTTCGGTAGGTGAGCTACCCAACCCTATTGCTCCCGTGTAACAAGTAAACCCGAAGTAAAACACCAAATTCAATCAAACCCATCCTATAGACCAGATAGGTCATCGGAAAAAATTAAATGTTTGTACTGTTCAAAGCTGGGACATTTCAAATCACATTGCTTTAAGCGTGATAGGGATCAGGGAAGGAGCCCATCTGATGGATTGCCCACACAAATCATATCCTCTACGACTCATCCAAGGAAGTCCAAACCAGGAGTAGATGCTCGGTCCCAGGGAGAAGGAACAGATCCTCCTAGTTGACTAAGCAGAACATGGGTATCACTGTCAAACTTGTCACAATCTGTGAGTCCTTACTTTTCCAAAAGCAAAGTAGGAATTACCGATAGCCAGTTGTTGCGAGTAAACTCCTTTAGGGATACAGGATCCTACTTAACTTTATTAAGAGATGGACTGTTATCATTCCCCCCCGAATCATACACAGGTTTCGACGCTCTGTTGGAAGCTTCTGGTGGCTCCACTACATGAGTACCCCTATACAAGTTATACGCGAAACTCCTATTTTCACTGGCTGGACGTCAATCGGAGTGTCTCCCATTAACTTCCCCTTAAAAGGCATAGACCTATTGATTGGGAATGACTTAGCAAAAGAAGGAATATGGAAAGAACCCATAGTTATGGAAAATCCAACCGAGGAAAATTACGTCATTGAAGCCCGACGAATGGAACCTACCCTCTTTCCTCTGAGCATAGTAACCTGGGCAATGACCAGTCATGTTCTCCAATGGTATCGGAGGAAGTCATGGATGACGTCGACATAGGAGTAGGAGCCATATTCAACAAAAGCTCGAGTTTCGAGCCAACAGTCCACCCGGAACCAATACGCGTTCCAAAGTCGGAGGTTTCCAAAATAGATTTATTCTCGAAAGAGGATCTAGCAAGAGAACTCCAAATAGACCTCTCCTTAAGTCACATCAGGAAGCTTGCTGTGTCGGGAGAAGAAGCCCTTAACCCTTTGACTGTTTCCGACGTATAAATACGTCTTACGAGCCAATGTTTCTGACGTATTTATACGCATAAATTCTAGCAGCTTCAAAGCAAGCAGGAGAAAGCTGGTAGGCCCACATGTGAGAGAATGGGTCTCCATGGTCAGTGTGCACCATATAAAAAAAATCGGGGAGCCAGTGGTGCACTGTGGGAATGCCATTTCAGTTGTCCATTTTCAGCATGTCTAGCGGTAAGAAATATGTGATTCCCCAGCAAATCTGGGACTCTTCTCTTCCCAAGTGATGCTCTAACACAGATGGAAGTGTCAGTGAAGATCAATTTCATGATTTGGAGGAGTTTGAGACCAAAAGCAATGGAGGAGGAGGAGGGGGAGGAGGGGAGGAAGAGGAGGAGGAGGGGAGGAAGAGGAGGAGGAGGAGGAGGAGGAGGAGGAGGAGGAGGAGGAGGAGGAGAGGA